AGGCTTGGTTGCAGTGGCTCCTCTTTTGGTTGGCTGTTTGGTACAGTATTTATTCGAGAGATTTCTTGACAGACACGGATCATCTTCTTGGCCCTTGGTGCCAATTATTTTTGAGGTATGCAAACTGCTAATTTTTTTCCTTTTCTTTTCGGGGTAAAGGCAAGTCAACATGGAACTGAGGATTTCAAATCTTTGCAGATTTATAGGATATATCAGTTGACGAGATCCGTCCATTTTGTGGAGAAGTTGATGTTTTCTATGAGCGGAGCTCCTGTCACGCCCGAGTTGTTTGACAGAAGTGGTGCATTGGTTGCTATGATAGTGACTTTCCAAGTTTTAGGAGTAATTTGCTTATGGTCCTTGCTTACATTTCTTCAAAGGCTCTTTCCTTCCAGACCTGTTTCTGAGAACTACTAATCTTTGTAGATGAAGATGTTGATCTTTTTTCTCTTTTGCTTTATAGAAACTTTGATTTGCATTAATTTAAATGATCTAGTGCAGTATCTAGTCCTACTTTTCTGAGCTAAATAATAGAGATATGCCTTAGCTTTCAGTTCATCAATTATGGTTTTATCCTGGTAAATTTAATTAGATGTGGCTGTTCGATAAATACGTTATCTGAATGACACTCCAGTATCAAGCAGCAGAACAAAGGTTCATATACAAATCTCTGATAGACACTTGAATCTGTCTCATACATGTTCAATTTGTCCTAAAAGCAAATTGCTCTGCACCATTTTAAGTTGTTAATGGAAAAGGTACAAGGTTATGGTTTGGATCAAAGAGACAAATGCACTTGAAGATATAATTGCTACAAATCTGATCTTTCTGTATAATCTGTTGAATAATTCACTTTCCAAGAATAAGTCTTTAACCTAATCAAGCCAGGAGAAGGATTTTCTCAAGAAATTAAAACAGGTGAAGGTTTACATTGGAGATCAACTTGAAAAACTTCACAAAACTCCTTGACTAAAGATTTATGAGTAATATCAATAAGTTGGACATCATCAATGTCCTGATGGTTTTCTGTACCACGGCCATTAGAGTGGGAGTGCTCCCTCAGCAATCCTTTTATGCTTCCAACTTGATGGTCACGAATCCCACATGGAACTATCTGTTGAAAGGGTGACAGATCTGTGGTGACATTCAGTGCCAGGCCATGATATGTGACCCAGTGAGATACTCGAATGCCAATTGCAGCTAATTTCCGCCCCCCTGAAAGAAGCCAGTGTTGGATCAAAATATTACATGCCTTCCTTCAGAAGTAAAAGGCATAATAATAATAATACACCATACTTATGGTTGAGGAAGGACGAAAAGGTTCTTTGGTGAGGTGGGTGGAAGGAGGAGAATAACAATGTACTCTTGATTAGGACTCTTAAGACTGTTCTACCTCTCAAACTACGAAAATTAAAACAGTCTACCAGATAAGCCAAGTAAAGCAATTTTAGATTACAATGAAACAGTTCTATCTCCTTTAAAAAAGTCCATTCCTTATTTAATCCTCCCTCAAATCTTGCTTAGTTTGTTTGTTCGCCCAGGAAATACCTTTTATTCACTTCTTATTTCTCTCGAAAGCACCCAACCAACTATTTTTCTGTTTGACAAGGAGATATATAGAAAGTGTGCAGTTAAGCTACTTCTCAAAATTTAGTTTTTTTTTAAAAAGGAGCGACTTGTAAAGCTATCTCCAGAATTGTTCCTGGAATGGAACATGCAATTGGTAATAAGATTATTGGAGATAACTTCTGCGAGTTTCAGTCTGTATCAAGTATGCTTCAAAAGATTCATAAACGCTCTAGATGAATGGTAATAAGCATTGACAAATCAGAATGCTTTTATCTGAAGATTATCATTGTAAAACCTATAAAAGGTTTATTCCAAGGTAAGAAAAGTAATCCCTTCAATACACAAATCCAGGCACAACTAAACTGTTGATCAGCTTAATAGTGTAACAGATTTCAAATATGGCCGGATGCACTATGCAGGTCAAGTCACAAGTGCCATTCATATACCCCTAGGCACATGGGAAATCTTCAAACAAGAAATATCTTATGAACTATCACCTTACCAAAAGGTTTTCTAAAACCATAACGCCCAAGTCATTTTCAGAAATATCAGATAATACCACTGAAAGACTAATATGGCCAACCAAATGATATGGAGAATCAGTACTTACCAACCCAAACACCGGTTAGGCCATCAATTCTTGAAGCCTCTATAGAAAATGATGAAGAAAGAACTCGTATAATCACCTCCTCAAGGCTCCTGAGGTACCAATGAAGATCCATCTTATGATATCGAAGATTGATGATGGGGTACATAACTAGCTACAATTTCAGATAGAAGCATTATATGTCAGAAACGTAATAGCTCAAACAAACACATGAGTTATCCTAATCCCGCATACAAACAGCCACCCAATGAAGTATAACACAGCAGTCTTGTCAAAACCACATTTGATACGGGAATTTGTAGAATGTCAAGATAATCATAGCCCATCAAAATCTGGTTACTGATACATCTGACTAGACAACTTAGAATAGAAACATTGCCAGCCTTTGAACCAACGACATCAAGCATCGAGAACAACCTATATACTTGGCTTAGTAATCAACTATATCAAGATAGTTAAGGAAGTAGGCAGCAACAAGTGAAATTAGAAATGTACCTGACCAGGGCCATGATAAGTAACTTCACCACCACGTTCTGTTCGATACAATTCAAAAGGAGCATTCTTTACATCAAAAAGTATATTCTCTTCAGAGCTACCAGAACCCAACGTATAAACCGGCTGATGCTGCAACACAATGAGTGTGTCAGCAAGATCCTCATCCCTTTCAATTTGTGCTTTCCTCTCATCGACAATAGTCTTTTGCCAGGACCACGCTTTAGCATATGGAACTAACTCTTTGTACATATCATAACAATCACAGCTAGAGTCAAACAGAGTTAATCTACTGAAAAACCTTAAATTGCACAACAAGTGTTTGTCAAAATGCCAACAAGAAAATCTTACCATCTTTTGGCTTGACAGCTTGTTAAAGTCGGGCTCTTGAGTATAGCTGTACTACAATGTTGCTTAGTCTTTGGGTTTCCCAGTTTCCATGTCGGAATTGAACAGAACATCGAATTTGTGAAAACAACCATTTCTGCAATATATAGACTGTAAAAACCGATGAACCAAAACCAATTAATAACAAAAAATCCCAATTATACAAAAATTAGGAGAAAAAAATGTAATCAAAAGATTAAAAAGATTGGATATTTGAAGATTCTGTAAGTGTTAATCTGAACTGAACTCGCTGTTCTTTTAAGATTAAGAAAGATCACGGCTTCTTGTTCCCTCCGCTTGGATTTGTATACGAATTATTAAATTCATTTAATTAATTACTTTTCAATTTAGATAGACGTTTTAATTTATTTGATCTATTTTGACTTGCCAAATTATTTAGAGTCTGTTTGATTGACTTAAAAGTTATCAAACATACTTTTTACATCAGTTTTAACTTTTGAAAAGTTTATCAAAGATAACTTAGAATAAGTTTAAAATGATTTGAAAAAAGTTAAAAGTAGGTAATCTCATAGTTTCATCTTGTGGTCTTAAAAATGTAATATGTGAAAAGTTTAAATTTAATTAATGCAAATCATAATTGACCATGTGTAAAAACTAATTTTGTATAACCGAAACTATTTTTAATTAACAAATAATGACATGGGTGAACTTTTTCTCGAAACTGATAATAGATGAACCAAAAGAACAAAACGAATATAAATGTGCAAGTCCTCCCAATCAAACAAGCAACCGATGACCATCATAAAAGCAAGAGATATAGTAGACGTTTGGTCATAGAATTTACGGCTTAAATTTATAGTTTTGATTTGAAATTATAACTTATTTATGTAAATAAGCAAAATTTTAAATTCAATTTCAAACTTTTTAAAATGTATAATTTCAAGTTTGATTAGTGATTTCAATATTGAACTTCGTTTTTATAACAACGTATGACGACAAATATTCTACTATAAAAGAATTATAGAATTATGTTATTTTTTAATGTAGTACATCAAGATATTCCGATATCTTATATATGAAGTATGAACTAATATAATTTGCGCATTTGCTAAGAGACTGAATAGAAATTGAAAAAGTTTTGATAATTTTTATTTTTTTTATAACTATGAAATATAACTTAAAAAATTTAAATGGCATGTCTAAATAAAATTTGAAGTTGATTTAACGGACTACAAACTTCATAGGCAAGGAAGAAGTTGAAATGTCTCATGCTAATATAATGACCGTCTAAAATGTAGTATAAGAATAACAACTTGTGTCTATTTGAGACTCCTAATTGATTTGCTCAATGTGACAAAGCTGGAAGCGGCTGCTATTTTAAAATTCAGCCACGTATATACCTAAACCAAAAACGAATCCTTCTTTCCATATTCTAAAATTGATACTCCCTTCGTTTAAAAAAGAATGACCTAGTTTGATTAGGAACGAAATTTAAGAAAAGAAAGTTAATCTTATGGTTTTAAATTAAAGTTATATCAAATGTACCAAAATGCCTTTTAATCTTGTGGCCTTAAATATGTCAAGTGGAAAGTTAAAGTTAAAGTGTTGCCAAAAAAAGGAAAGAGATTGTTCTTTTTGAAACAGACTAAAAAGGAAATTGAGTCATTCTTTTTTAAACGGAGAGAGTAAATATTAATATTTGTCTACACCAATAGAAAGTCGCAAAAGTGCCACGTGTTCGGAGGAGAATGCTTATGACCCTACACGCTAAATGTAAAAATATCATTGAAAAATTCAGAACATGCACCTTTATGCCTACCTCTCCAAGAAAAGTGGAGAAAATAGCCAAAATAAAGGTCACACACATTATTATTATTTCACTTTACGACAATACTAACTAATATACCACGAATTTTCTGCACTTTTTTCAAATTGCATATATAAATATGAATACTTGCTCAAATGGAGAAAGAAGAAAAAAGTAAGAGAGAAAAATAAATAAAAGAAGGTGAAATTAATTAAAATGGTGATAAATGGTAGATTGTTACGTACCTCTAAGCAAATGGGGTTACGTGACAATAATGGTAACCAGAATCAGCAGCAACGTTGTTATTCGTTGATGAATAATTATTCGTTAAAGTTTAAGTGTTTAAACAAAGGTGGCTTTGTTGGCGGAGCAGAGAAGAAGGCAGTTGCAACTAAGGCTGTTGGTACTGCGGTTGTGTCTGAACTAATTACGACACAAAATTGGAAGATTTCAGATCTAAGTTTAGTCGCAGATAATAATGTATCAGATCTGATACTTCAAAACTTGAAAAATTTACTCAAACAAATGCCGCAGAAATTGCATCACTTACAGTCCTCCATTGAGAAGGTATGACTTTTCTTTAATTTTTCACCTTAATTTATAATTGCTCATGGTAAATATGATTTGTGTAAACACAGTGTTGATAAGTCTTTAAAAGTTATAAAGTACATAGTAGAATTATTCCAAATATTTCAACTGGAATAGCTATGTACATTTTTTTTTTCTATTCACTCATGATCTGGAGCGAGACTAACACCGATCCAATAATTACATGACATATTTAATTTAATTACATACACTCCTATCTAATATTTTTGTTCAGCTCAAGTTTGTTTTTTATTCCTTTTTTCTGAATGGCTATTGGAACTCTGTTTTGCAGGGTATTTTGGATTGCCGGTTCTTCAGTCTTTTTGCAGTCGCAGGGACATTGATTGGTTCATTATTATGCTTTATCGAGGTAATATATTAGTACTAATTACTAGTATTATTATTTTATCATGAAGAAATAATTGATTTTATGCAATTTTAAGACTAATAAATTAAATAAATATTCTCATTGTTGCAGGGCTGTTACTTAATCATAGAGTCATACGTCCACTATTTTATCGCAATCTCACATAAGTCAGACCTTGGACATGTCGTGCAGCTATTGATCGAAGCTATTGGTACATTTTCCCTCTCTTAAACTTTGAAATTAATAATCGAGAATTGAATGAACAATTGTTTACATTATCAGCATAAAGAAGTTAAACTGACGTTCTTTTTTTTATTTTTCAGATATGTTTCTATTGGGGACTGCTATGCTTACATTTGGAATGGGGTTGTATGTCATGTTTGTGGGATCAAGAAATATTAATGTTAAAGGAGATGATCAAATGTCAGGCAAAAAGTCGTATTATTTTCAAACACTTCCATCATTGATGGGAATGAAATCAGTAATGCAAGCCAAATCAAGAATAGGACATGCACTTATAATGTTACTTCAAGTGGGAGTATTGGAGAAGTTCAAGAATATACCTGTAGTTAATGGATTGGATCTTGCTTGTTTTGCTGCTGCTGTTTTTGTTTCCTCCATATGTGTCTTCATTCTTTCTAGGCTTGCTGTCACTAACACAAAGGCTGGAAACTAAGATAATTCATTTGTAAGAAAAAAAATAGGTCTGTATACTAGTCTACAATTAGGACTTGTTATAGTTGACCTTATTGTTAAATATTTTTTCAATTTGTAACAATTAAAATACATTTGTTCATATCTGTTTTTGTATATTTTTCAAATCAGTAAATGAGTTTCTGTTATGGTCCCCAATTATGAATCTAATTATGGGACGCTGCAAGATAAAATCTGAAGTTTTCTTTTTTCTACCTATGGTGCTGGTTCGTTAAGAGAGAACCTACGATCTCTTGAGTTTGAAATACTTTTCTGCTTATCATTTCACTAAATACAAATAACATTAAATACAACACTGGGGAATTAACCACCCATATGAAAACAAGGAAGTAAAAATAGGAAAAACAAGTAACTAAAAAGCTGTAGTAATTACTGCAAACAGAAATAAAAAATAAATAACTTAATTTTCTTAAATCTTCCATGTGTTTAAAACATTGGTAGACTAAAAGGGGTGCTAACAGTTTCATTGTGTTGTTGATGCACCAATGGTTGAAAGTCATGAGGCTCAAGTTCAAATTCCAGCGGAGACAAAAATACTAGTTGATTCTTTCCATCCGGATACCACGGTCATCAAAAGAATAAAATAATAACTTGAGTTGTTGACACTATACAAAGGGGGTTGCTTGTATAGAAGTGTTACTCTAGGCATAATTAAGTAACTAAATATCCAGTGAAATACTTTACATAATAGTTTACAGCAAAATCAGCACTAATTCAAGAGAAGCTAAACTTGTGCTTCACATTTGATAAAACTCACCACAATTGTAACAGAGTGTACGTAGACCAACAAAAGAATTATAAATAGGTTAAAAAAAAGACCTCCTAAAGAAGGCAAGTTTGTTCAAATGCACAACATACCATCACTGCTTTTTTCTTCTTCCGTTCGATGAAACCTTCTCGGGCTCTCACTATACCACCAGGGCTACGCAAAAACAGTGCCCTTTGAATTCTGAAGAATAAAGAGGAATATGCTAATCCTATCTGATCTCTCTCTATTGAATGTCATCAGCACATATCATAGAGGAAGCAGATATGCTCGAAACTTGGAGAAAGACCTGAGTGTTCTTGTTTCGGCTATCCTTTCTTGAGCAAACCATAAATATACATCAACTTGTTAGAGGCTTTGCTTTTCTTATGTGACCCATGCTATTGACGAGATCCTTGCGTGTACAAACAGGAAACATGTTGATATTCCTGAATTCTTTGAACCGCCAAAGGACATATGGAAAACTCAGTTGATCACGGGATGTAAAGCGAACCACCTCATTAAACCATAGGCACATGAGCAGGTTAGTCGATGGTGTGTGCTCTCTCACAATAATTGAAGCCTCAGATAGAGCTGCACCGATATAGTGAGTGTGAGAATGATTTACTGATTAGAAAACAATCATCTCATTTGAGCAATTTTGGAATAGCAGTACTATAAGTATGCAGTGGATAACAATCACGGTATATGCTTCATTTCAGCTGACAAGGAAAAGAGAAATTCTACCTTTTTTCCCATTGAATCTCTTATCCTCAGGGAGTCCATCTTGACGGTACTGAGCGATCTGCACGGCCACTTCCTCTGGAGTGGCCTTATTTTTCTTGACAACAGCCTTTGCCTCATCATACACGCTACTCCGAGCTCCATGTTCTGAGATTGCTAGTACAGAGTTTGAACGCCAGAGCAGAGCGTCCAACACACCCAACGGATCCCTCCTCAGTTGGGATTTTGAGTCTACCCAAATGGAATATCTAGAATTCGGAAAGAGACGATGGGCCAGCATCTGATTAAATTAGACATGGATTAAATACTTATAAATCATTTAGGTAGTAAAATGTTCACACTCGTACTAATTCAATCCTCGTACTTTTAATCTTAAGAGGATGTATTAAAAGACAACAAATTTTCTTTTCCAGACATTTCTAATCTTCAAAACTGGTTCATCATTCTGATTTGCTTCATCACACTTCAACTTTGTAAGGCACCATATTTCTTGACGACTCATGGAGAAGAATATTGGGAGTAGGACAAGATCACCAGAAGTTCCACTTCAAGTATAAGGATATGTTCATTGTAAAATGGAAAAGCATACAAGAAATTGAGGAATCAGGCGACAAGCATACCTTTGGGATTTTACCATTCAACCTTTGATCTGTAAATGGTAGATTCTTAACAAGGATGATTCGCCACTTTCCGATATAATGGTCATCGCCAACTTTATGGCCATCTGCCTCTTGTGATGCAAGTGTAATTTCATCCCAAAAAGCCACAAAGCAAACCTGCATCATTTAATCCAATGACATATATTAATTAAGGTGTCCTGCACCACTTTAAATCCCCAAACCCAACTACATTGTGATAAAGTGTAATTTTACTTAGTGTAAACTAAAGACTGGAAATCAATCATGAGCATTAACATCCAAAAAAATAACCTTCTTGAGAGATGACTCTGACATTCCTATAGGTTGATAGAGATCATCTCCACCACCAAATGCACAAGTTGACACCACAGCTTTGCAGGATTCCATATAACTTCTATCTTCAACAGAAATCCTAAAGCCTCCTTTATCACTGTAAAAACCACAGTGGATGGATGCATCCATTACTTTCACCTGAGATAATGCTTAAGCAATTTGTCAAAAGAAGAAGAAAGAGAGATACATAAATCATTTCATAGATAAATAGGTGATCACTAAAAAGCAAGACGCAGGTCGACAACCTTAAAACTTTCATCCCTTTGCTTAAGAGATTGGTTTCCTGTGAATAAATTAAATCTTGACGCCCCCGAGTGTTGCTCGAATGACATACCATCATCTACAGAAGCAGGGTTGGCCTCTGTGATGTATACCACCTGTTTAATAGGATCGGCAGGTACTTTATCCATGGGGAAATCAAGATGCTCAAGTTCTTCAGTTGGTAGTAACTTCAAGCAAGCTGTGAGATCCATGAATTGTTACACAGTATTGAAGACAATGGGTCAAACAACATAGCACTTTGACAAGCATGTAAAATATCTTGTATATAAGAAAAATCACTATGTAATTAGCCACAAAGAAATGCTGAATACAGTAGTTTTACCCGAAGAGAAACCAAATGATCTGTCCCATATGTCAACTAGATCACTTTAGCACCAAATTTGTGGTTCTTTCAATATCTTTGATTCTCATATATTAACTCCTATTATCATTTGGATTTGATTTTTTCGTGATTGATAGAGAATTTGACAACAGAGTCATTTAGTTCTACAGCAGGGTCAGGATATACCTTGAGATTGGTTCATTTAGAGGGGCATCTACCTATGATCCTCCTCCATGGGTTTTGCTATAACCAGGACATTTCGTCCAACTCCACCGAAAAGGGGCATCTTAACTGAAATACCCATATCCTTCTTCCCCTTTCCGCACCCTCTAAAAATATATTTTCCTCATTCGTTTGTTTTCTTCTAGTAAAATCATGTGAATAGTTAGGTTTAGGTGTTCAATTGAACATTTTTTAGGTGCCTCTTTGTTACGTGATAATTCATCCTTTGGAATTAGGCATGCAGTAGCTAATCAGGATGATTGAGTGGTCATATGTCCCAACACCTAAACCCCACTACCTGGGGGGAGTAAATGGTGGCTCCCCGCGTCTCACATGAGCCATAACAATGATTAGATTTTTCTTTTTAATAGTTCACTTTTGCTTCGATCATCTGTACACAAAGAAAAGCTAGTTTGCAAACAAACTAAGCTTTATTTACTCCCCTTGTACTTAAAATCCTTACCTTGAACACGTGTTATGCTGGAAGACCTCAACAACAACATTGTCTACACTTTAGTCAACTTGCTTGAGGTTTGGGATCCTAATAACAGTATATTTAGGGTAAGCAGAGAATAGAGACTAAATCCAATTGTCATACCCTTAGGAAAACTCAGTTGCTAGCCGAATGAAAAAAGTAATCCTTTAGCTGCCTCAGATGAAACCACCTAAAGGGTTGGTAATGAAAGGTGAAGAGTCCTATTGGCATTTATGAAGAGGCAGGGAATTTTTACTGCTATCTGTGTTTCCAAGAAATGCACCCCTTAACATGTTCTGGCTGGCAGAGGCTACTGACTTTTGATAGATGCAGTACCAACCAGTTCCGTCTGGCTACTTGACCAACATACTCCTTTTTGTACAAGTACGAGTACAGTCTCTTTCTTGCAAGAACAAAGCAAGGTTGTTTAAACCACAAGGAAGTGTACATTTATCAATACCTTCACATTGAAACATACTTTCGCATGGGGAATTTAATCATCTCAATTTTGAGTACAGAGCATTTTAAATCTCTCCAAAGCAAGTACAAAATCCCCATGTACATAATCAAAACAATTCTTTAGTGTTCTATTCATTGAAAACACATTTGTATTATCCGAAAGATAGTGTCGTATTCAAAACAAACTTTTTAGTTTTCTATATAGATCAATATCCCAACGATCAGCCCTCTTTTCTGTTGAGGTCTATCCTGCAGAGGTACTCAAATTGGATCAGTGATCAATTTCTAGCTCTGGAAAGTCCAAGGGATATCATTTCGGAGTGGAAGATTCTGAATAAGGGAACTGACATAGTAAAGACCAGATATTTTATCATTGTACTTATACCTGGCACAAGGATTCATCAATTTATAGATATAACAATCAGTATCAATCAGAGGTTCTAATCAGATACTGGACGAAAGACTACAGATATGCATATTTCAAGCAGGCCAATCCTAAAATAACTATACGCCGTGAAATTCAATAAAGCAAGTAATGCGCATCATTCAGCATAAACTGATATCGAAACAGCAAAAAGCAATTAGGCACTTAGATAATTTAGATCATATTGCAAAAACTTCTCAGGAAAAAAATAAAATAAACTCACGTTCTCTAACTCCATGGACAACATGAGTCACTAGATCCAGGCGATTCAAGTTCGTCGGCGGTTTCTTCTCAACAACCTTATTAGTTTTATTTCCAGTCACCGGATTCGAATTTTTAACAACCGAACTAGGTCTTCTTCCAATTCGAGAGGCTTCAAATATGAGAAGACCTGCTGCAAGTAAGAATAGCAGAAAAGGCCACCACCTGAGGAGCTTTTTCAGGACAATATGAGA